AGTCAACTGATCATACAGAGGTACTAGTTACAGGCTGTAGTCATTTGCAGTCATAGCCATTCCACAGGATTTGATAGGATCACACAACAGTAACAGAAGGCTTTAAATGTTACTTTCTCTAAGGAGTGCCTGTAATGACCAAGTTTGCTGTGTAAAGAAAGGAGGGAGACAAAACAATGGCTCTCCATTTTAACTTAATCTTCCTGGGGTGGCTACTGGCAATAAGTCATATTAGTTGCAGATATGCTAACATGACAGCTCTTACTGCTTTTCCAAAGTGTAAAAATATGTACGCAGGCCTGTCCATTTCAGTCTGTAAAAATTTTATTTAACACATATGATAAATCTTATTTTGACTAAGATACTTCATGTATGATTCTGTTAAAAATTATAAGAAAGGATTAAATTGGTTCATAGGAATTCATAAAAGAACAGAAATATCGTCCCAAGAATAAGAGTCAAGCACACCGGAGCCAGAAGCCCACTGTGCAAGAAGGTGACTGGAGAGAGATTTAAATTGCAGACCCTTCTCATCCAGAGGAAATCTAAAGCAAACCTCCACATATTCTGACTGCTCTAATAATTGGTTTTAGGTTAGACTGGGAGATTAAACTACCTGAATACAGGCCAATATGTAGGCAAAAATACAGTGTTTATCAGATCAGAAGAAAGGAGCATGACTGCAACCAAGTGGTGAGGACTCTTACTGAGCATAAGGAAATTTGAGTTGCAATTTTACAGAAAATCTCTACCTGGTGTAAAATAAGACACGATGAGCTACGCTGACTCCTGCTGGTGCACTGTCAGCTGAGTTATTTTCTATTTTAACTACACTGTTCTGCAGAGAGAACATAGCAAGGGATGTAAGATTATTCATGACCATATTCAACCTAGGGGATGGTTGTGTCAAAGGCTTATAGTAACACTAGATAAGGCAGAACCGAAGAGCCAGAGTGAACTCTAGAAATCCAGCCTCTAAAAACTTACCTAGCTCTATCTGCATAGAGCAACTAAGGACAAAATCCAGAAAAAAATGTTAAGTCATGGTGCTGAAAATATCACATCTATCTAAGTCAAATATTTTCTTAAAAACAAAATGGCTCTTACCAGTATTCATGCAGTATTAATATTCTCTGAGTTACATTACAGAACATCCTAAAACATAATTCCTAACAATCCAATTAGTAATTACCAATATTAAAATAATAGAGCTAGTGATACTCAGCTCTTAAACTAGGATTGAAGTTCTCTGCTGGAAAAAAGAAAAGCAATGAATATAATCAATATTTGCAAGGTTACTGAAAAAAGTCCATTTCTTTCTAGTGCTGTTTTAGGTTTACCCAAACATTAGCAATGCAGTAGGTTACAGAAGAGATCTCTGCATGACTGCAAAATGCTGCACTGTGCTGCAGCAGATTTCTGCTACAGCAAAGAGTGTAGCTGCAGCAATACAAACTATCAATCCTATACATGAAAAATTAATAATATTAATAGAAAGTTTCTACAAAATCTACATTTCTATTATCTAAGTATTCCATTTTGCGTACTGAAACAATGTCATAAAATTATATCAGATTTCTTGTAATAACAATTACATTAACTTCACGGTTAATAGAATAGATCAGTGTTACCTGTTTCAATACTTATTTTAAAAGATTTTCAACTGGTAAAAGATTGTTAATTACAGTTTACTTAAAATCAATGTATATGTGAACGGTTCCTTTAAAATCTCTTGAGCCTAAACATATGACTAGAGTCAAAATTGCTGTCAGTTGATTTAAACAACTAACTCCAAAGAACATATGTTTCAAAAATACTACTCCCCCTAATCCTGAGGTTAGTGGTGCAGACAATACAATTCTGTGCATCAGTGTATAAGGAAGAAGATGTCAATAAAAATACAGACTGAGAAATTATAATGGCTAGTGGATTAAAAACTATATGGGATAGTAGACATGCATTATAGGACAATATACCACATACTTAGCACAGAATTAAGTGAAGTAGCAGACACGGTATTAAATTTCACCTTTCTGGTGCTAATGACATGGCAACTGAGCTGGTAGCAACTTATTTCTCACTAGCTTATTCATTCAGCTTTTCTCTGCTTTAGCTTGGTAACGGATTTACAAGAAATACTCCTGTTAGAAGGCAGTCATTCAATTTCAGATTGTGAACCACTGGATCACCTGTGGATCTAAGATAGCTGCCAAACTGTCAGAAATGGAATGGGAGTAGGATTCAGTTAGGTAGAAACACAATTTAAGAAAAATCTCCCATTTCTGTTACTCAAATTGCCTAAGACTTAAAGAAGTACCACAAGCTATTATTGGAAGGATAAGAAAAACTCCCATAGGACAAAGTAGCATCTCACAGAATTGTAACTACAACAGTCTCGTATTTTCAAAATTATAATCCATAGTTTATAGGTTATAATCAATGCTACAAATCAGTAGAGTGAGAGTCTGCATGTAAATATGTTCATTACCTATTTCCTTTCACACAGGAACTCTGAATCTATTCCAATTTCATGGAGGTTAACTTAGGACTTATTTTCAAATACTAGCATTTTTAACAACTGCAGCTCTTAACAAGTTATGTAACCATAGCCAAAACAATCAGCAGGCTACAGGATATCTGACAGAAACAAAAGCAGTTAATGTTGATGTTTATGTAAAAGATTTTAAGACAAAACCGAACAGACCTATACCGAGTCTTGGTGCATTTTTTGGCTTTGAAATAGAGGAGTTCTTGAGCTCAGCATTTTACCTTATGCACCCTCATCCTACTGATTTGCCTTTATATACCTTTAAAGTTTCATGTGCTAACAATAAAACAAAAAAATTGACAACTATGGATTTAAGTGAACAGATATATTTAAGCAAATTTACCAGTACTATATTTGATATTCAACAAATGCAATACTCAAAGGCAATTTTTTTTTAACAAAGGTCTTACACCAATAAGAACTTTCTGCATGGACCCCTTTTGGATGAATGTGAACAAACAATTGATACTTTTTGAAAAAAATGTAATTCTAAGTCTTGACACTATAGGGAATTCTAATTATAGGGAACTTCCAATTGATTTAGTGAAGAAAGGTTGGGCCATATGATGCCTGAGGTCCCTTCCAACCTGGTATTCTATGATTTAATCTTTTTTTTTCTCCCTGTAACTTGTCCTTATTTAAGACAGCATGCTACAGCTGTGCAAAAAACTAAAGTGAGCCCTGATATACAGACCAGTTCACTTCACAGCTCTCATATAAGATTCTCAATTCAATCAACTTTCATGCTATCGGATGAGATTAATTTACCAGTCAAATAAACTATGCTAAGCACTAGTTAAAGATTTGTACTGTTTAACTGTGCTTATATAGGAATCATGTGCTCTCACCCAGACTCAACTAAAAAGCAATGAAAAAAAAATAGAATAAAGAATTTAAGCTTTGCCTCAAAGTCCCGAACTTGCTCCATATTTGAGCCCGGAAAACCTGAATAAACAAAAGGTGGAGTTTCACCTGCCTATGAGCATTACTGAATTTCAACTCAGGCTGAGGTACAGCTACTTCTTAGTTGAACTCCTCCCTAAACTCTAGGACCTAGTGGCTCAATTCAGTTGTTACACATAATGCCATTTGACACTCTGTATGTTATAAATAAAATGTTATGGAAAGGCAGGTATGACACACGACCTCCAGATTCATGCTTTACTGGATCAGAGTATATAAGCAGTGGGAATCAGTTGCTTAAACACTGGCTTCTAGTGCCATTTTGCCCCTGACTTCCAGTTGCTGGCTCATTAAGAAAATGTATTCACTTGGGTCCTGTGTCACATTCAACAGCTCCTAGTAGATGTCTTAAATTCACCAGGGCATCTCCAGATGATATAAGATACCAATTTTTAGGCAACTGAATTGACACCTAAGGGAAGTGATAAAACATTACCAACTAAAAGCTTTGTCCAACAAACCAAACAGCGCATTGATGATGAAGGCAGCCAGAGTTCAAATCACTCAATTTTTTCCATTCTTAGACCGACAAAACAGAAGTTATGAGGAGAACAAGAGAGACACTCAGTATTTTCTGGCTCCACAAAAGGTTAGAACAATAGCTGCCCCAGCTGTGCTATTAATAGTACCCAGCATAATGGGTGACCCAGGTCACTCACCCAAGCTGAGGCTTCTACATACTACTCTAAAACAAACAGATGAAAATTCTTTGATCATTGCCTATCATTCCAGCACTAAGATAACTGCATTCTCACATATTAAACACATATTCAAATCTAGAACAGACTGCAATTCAATGATAGCCAAGAACTCTTGATTATGATATAGCCACCTGCCATCTCTCACAGCTAAAGCACTAATGGAAATATTTAAAACTAGCAAATTTTTAAACTAAGATCTACAAAAACCCTGGAACATACTTTTCATTATGTTGAGAATTTCATTATGACATGCCTAAGCAGTTACATGCTATTCTCCAGTGACAATAACATTTTTTCTCAACATTTCACATTTCTAGTAGTAAAGATAGAATTCTGACTACTGGAAGAATTCTTCAGAAAAATGATAAAATGTCACCCATATTCTGTCTGTCAAACTATTGTATTAGAAATTCATAACCAAAACTAAAACCTTAACTTGCAGTGAATGGCATCTGTAAGAACTATCCCACTGATGGGATACAGAAATATAAATAGAACTAGTTACACTACTTAACATATGTGGATACTCTTCAACAGGAACTCTATTATATTATTGTAAACTTTCTCAATAATTCTTTGTTTAAGTTCTAAATTAATAACTTGCAACTAAATATAATTGTTATTATATTAAAATATTCTACAGAAAAAAAGTCAACGTATTCCAAAAATCCCTCCGTTTACTCTGACTTTCTTATGGAAATATTCACATTTATGAACAGGTGGTTGGGTTCTCTAGCTTATCCTGGATGTAGAAAAGATTCAGAGGTCAATGAAAAATGTAACCGCACCTGGGAACTGATCATACGTTGCGATGAGCGAGCAATATTAGCAGGCAGGCCAAAAAAGTCAGGTTTATCATCTTCTGGAAGGCTTTTGATAATATTACGATAATCCTGCATCAGAAGAAAAGAATAAATGTAACTGAGGAAACTTTTTGTTCAGCTCATGAAATTAACGGCAAATGTTGAAAAGAATTTCATTAAGTGCACTGAATATGACAAAGATTAAAATAAGTACATAATACATAACATATCTTGGTAATCTTACTTACACATTTCTTATTTATAAAAAATTATCTTCTTTTATATAGCGTTCCCACTCTAAAAGAGCAAAAAGCAATTCTGATTACACTGATGCTATCAACTGAAAAGAAAAATATGCTAAGACTGTCTCTGAAAAGTAGTTACGATACTTCTGTTGAAAGCTTAAAAGTAAGATTAGTGACACTATAAAAAAGTAAAAAGGCTTTGGCATTTAGAATTTGAATAGTAGAGCATAATACATATTTATAAAACTAAGACAAAAAAAGATGTCCACAAGAAAGACGTCCTAAATAAACTGAGGTTTCCTTTGGACTATAACTCTTTATTTTCTTTGTGGAATTATTTCCAAGAATAATTCCTGAAAATAACTTATTTTAGTTTTTATATTAGGTGATAGAAGTTGTATACCTACCAAAATACTGCAGGAATTTGGTAAAGAGATTGAATATGGGAAGCTAGTCATCTTCTTGCCTCTAGCATTTAAACTGCCAATGACTCGTGAATTGAAAAGCTGCTCCAAATAGGACCGAAGAACCCTCATATCAAAGTAATTATCTACACGGCCTCCATAAATTGCATTTTCAAACAAGCCATGCACAAATTCCCACTGAAAATCTTTGGAACCTAAAAATTAATAAATATTAGTTTTGTATCAATGGATAGCATTGCATTATAAGCATTTCTTCTTGTCATTGCAGTTCTTCTGTGAAACAAAAAAAAAATACAAGCACATCAAACAATCAATTGTTTTTCTTCTATATTTCCAATTAATAAAAGCTACAGAAACTTAAATGAGTTTGTAAATATCTGACATTGCTAAAACAAACCATGTTTCAAAATTTTCACAAAATATTACTTAACTCTTGAAGTGCTTTTTATTGTAGATAAATCAATTGGTTATGAGCATTTCAGAAATGATGTTATTAAAATTTTAATTATGTGCTCCTTTGACATACATTAAAATAATTGTCCTTGTTCAAAATTTTATACACTACTTGGTATCACAGTACCATACGATCTCATAAAATATACTGACTGATAGAACCAAAACCAGAACACGGTCAAAATAGGTAACGTTACTGTAAATGTCATCTTTCAAACACAGAGGTCCAGGATAGGTACTTTGTAAATAATTAGAAATCACACAACATAGCACATAAAACTAAGCATGTTACTATCAGTTTCCTGGCCAGATTGATGTTGCAATTAGATTACTCTGGCTTAGCTGTATCCCACAAGTTCAAATTAACTTATTTTCCCTCCCTTCTATCACAGTTGTCCAAAATAACTACATGGGACAATGATCTACTTATGCTCTATAGCTTTCACGTGCATGTAAAAGATTGATTACAAAGGCACTTCTTAAAGTCATTTGAAAAAAGCAAGCAGCAATTACTTTCATAGCAGCTTTACTGGTGATAACTGGTGTGCCCAAATACTTCAATCATTCCTTCACAATAAAAGTTATCTTCACAGCAGTAGTTAACTATTAGATTAATGATTAGCAGTGATAGTTAATGATTCAACCTCTCTACATCATTGTATGTTTCAGATCTGTATAATAAAGGTCCAATTCCAGAAGTACTAATAATCCATAAATCTCATTTAAGTCAATGATCATTAATTATCTCTAAATATCAATTCTAACTTTACTTTGAAATTATATAAAATACAAAGACTTTTACAAAATTACCTTTCTCATGTTAACTAATATTAAGACATTGCTACGCTACTTAACAGAGCAATGAGGCAGGTCCTAACAGTGAGTTTCAATATGAAGAATTCATTCATATTCAATTCATATTCAATTCATTTATTCACCATAGGGGGAGCTCACACTGGGAAGGAATGGATACAGAAGACTTTGTCTTCCATGAACTCCTGTATTTCCTATTTATTGTTCTGGACTCAAGAACCTGAGCAAAATAGTTCTCGGCACAAAGAAATTACAGGTTTACCCGACCTCCCAAAAATTGAATTACGATTCACACTGTGTTTCTAGCTTTGCTTACTTGTTATGAGACTTGCAGCATCTCAACTCTTATCTGAATGTTGAAGAAAGATCACAGAATCATAGAAAGGTTTGGAATGGAAGGGACCTTAAAGATCATCCAGTTCCAACCACCCTGCCATGAGCAGGGACACCTCCCACTAGACCAGGTTGCTCAAAGCTGCATCCAGCCTGGCCTTGAACACCTCCAGGCATGGGGCATCCACAGCTTCTCTGGGAAACTTGTGCCAAGTGCCTCACTACCCTCACACTAGAAAATATCTTCTTAATATCTACTCTAAATTTACCCTCTTTCAGATTAAAATCATTACCCGTCATCCTATCACTACACTCCCTGACAAAAAGTCCCTCCCCATCTCTCCTGTAGGCCCTCTTTAAGTAGTGGAAGGCGCTATAAGGTCTCCCTGGAGCCTTCTCTTCTCCAGGCTGAACAACCTCAATTCTCTCAGCCTGTCTTCATGTGGTAGGTGCTCCAGCCCTCTGATCACCTTCCTGGCTCTCCTCTGGACTCGCTGTAACAGGTCCACATCCTTCTTATGTTGGGGCCCCAGAGCTGTACACAGTACTCCAGGTGGGGTCTCACAAGAGCGGAGTCAAGGGAGAGAATCACCTCCCTCCATACAGGTCCTCATGCAACATCTCCACTAATGGTAAAATGGGACAGGTCCAATTTGAACTCAAGGTCAGATGGCACAAGGTGGGTTGCATCCATAGAGTTAAACTGTTTTGCCCTAAAATAAGGCAAGCTCCTATGTCCTGCCTCTTGGAAGGAGTCTCCAGGCTCTGCTATCTGAAAAACCATGCCTTGTCACTGCCTACAGAAATGCCTGTCTGCATAAGCCAAATATGTGAAAAAATAAACCTGATCACAGCATATTTTTGAGCCTGTGTCCACCCTTTATCACTTTCCTAACACAGACATATTTCAGAGTCTGGATCTACATCCAGAAAAGCCCAATAAACCTAAGCACAGCTGATTGACGGTCTGATACTTCCCATACTGGAGTAGTTACCTAACTACATTGTAATGTGTTTATATTTGTGAAAATGTTCCAATGCAGATTCAAATGCAAAATTTACATACCTTCAAAGCAGCCTTTAAACAGAATAACCCCATTTCAAACTCCAAACAGATCAATCATGCAAAGTAACCAATTTATAAAAATTACCGCAAAAGTTTTTAATATTCTAAAAATTGTTAATGGCAGACATTCAGAGGGGTTACGCTACAGAGGTTAGGATTCCTTCCTTAAGAAGTGACTTACCCTCAAAGAGGCTATCAATAATGTCAAAACCAGCACGGAGATCAGATAAAGAAAATTCATAAAACTTGGTCCAACCCTACCATTAAAAGAAACCCAAATAATTTAATCAGTCACACAATGATCATCATGCAGTAAAATACAAACATTACATGGTTACTGAATACTGTTAAATACTTAACACTGAATGAAAAAAGAGACAACCTATGTCCTCTAAAGTGCATCTTTGGAAACATTCAGTGGAGGTAGTATAAAAAAAATCACCTCTACCAGTCCATTTAATTTTACATACTTATGCAAACTAGAATCCATTGAGTATGAGGAATGTAAACTTAAGATTATTTTATTTCCTAACAGTATTTACTTCAACTAAAAGTTGCTGACATCTGTGACTAGATCCCACACTGAATTATGATTTTATTTCTGAGGGCTTTTTTGTATTTCAGTTTCCTTTGGATTTTCATAAATAGGTCTGACTCTTAAAACACAGTCTACATTATACTTTTATCATCTTACTCCTTAATTCATGTCACTTCTCTACTGACTGAAAAAATTATAATGAGAAAAGCAATTACTGCTACTATTACAGCGAAAACGCTGACTGCCATATACATATTTTAATAATTCTCAGTTTGTACCTCCATTCTGGAAAGGTAGCATTACTCCTTACATAGCAATAATCTGTCATGTGTAAGTTATTCTTACAAAAAACTTCTAATGTAAACGGATAAGTATAAATAAATATTGATATATGATACAGAACTTAGGAAATTCATATCTCAAAGTTATCTAATGTTGCTGTATATTCTTATGGCTGTACTTTTACATATGGATCACATCATAGGAACAGGTGCATGTGACTCATGATTAAAAATGTGCACATGTGTCAGACAATATGCACACATCCAGTGAGATGGATACAGGCTCAGGTCAAGACTGCAGCTGCTTCACAGATCACAATCAAACCATCAACCAGTTACCCTGAAGGTCATGAACTGGAAAGATGCTGCAGTCTCTCAACAGTGTTAACGGATTTTTTTTGACAGATCTGTACATGGATCCAAACCAACCTGAAATTGATTATAATATACAAGAGCTTCTAGCAGGGATTAACTGCAGTCCAACAGTGTTAGAAACTGGTAATCTTAAAAAAAATATAAAACCATCACTAAGTCTGCACAAGGCAAACACAGTTACAGGAATCAAGGAGAAAGCAGTAATCCTATCTTGTGTCACTTGGAAAGCTGGTGGTAAATGAACATGAATTTGAGCAAAGCCAAATGAGAGTTAATGTGTCAGATAAGTACTTGAAATATTTTCACCTATTCTACTTCTTGAACACCATACTCAGACTCTAAACAACCTTATAAATCACAAAGTCAAAACTAGCAAAAAAACTCTCAAACATTCCAAGCTCAGACAGGTCGAATCTTTCAGATGAGAGGTTAATTTCACCCATAGTCTATATAAAATAAACAAGACATAGAAGAGTTTATTAGTTGGGGGTTTTTGTTGTTTAATTTAAGCATCTGCAGTCAGAAAGAAATGTTTGCTTTAACCAAAATTTTATCTAAGGAATAAACACATCACAGCCTCTGAAAACCATTACAATCCTCACAAAAAACAAGTAAATTCCCTTGTTCTTCCTTCTCCTTGAAGAAGTTTCGTGTGTAGAAAGAGTAGACAGTGTTGTCCCCTCCTTCCCATCAAAATGTCTCTTTTCCCACGTCTTCCATTCAATTGTGTATGTTTCCAAAATATTTTTTTCCTATCCAAAGCAAACATAATTCACAGAATCTTTTCCATGAGACCTCACTCCTGCATCAGTATCAGTCAGTGCACAAATCACAAAATAACCTCATGCAAGCAGCAGCAATTTTCAGAGGGACAAGAATTTAGCCTACCAAGACCTTATTTTGCCATGAATTCAGAGACAATAGTGATGGTAGGTACCAGAAGTATCCAAGTTTTTCTCATCTCTGAACATGACCCAACATATACTTGACAAAAAATACTTCCAAGTATAAAAGCTAATAAATGGGGTAAATTTCTTAAAAAGGTACCAAAAAAAATATTACCTGAGGAATATAATTTCTTCTTTCTTGGCATACAGCATGAAACCAAGCTAAACAGAAGAGAGAATGTGCTCGAGACAAATTTCCCTTTTTATTAATTTGCTCTGGTGTCCAAGATTCATAGGTTCGCAAGAGATTCTTTTTGAGGCCTGGAGGTGCCTGCATTGGAAGGAAAAATACCGGATAATTTATGTAATATTTCCTTAAGTTCTAACTTATGATTTACAACTTAATGAAATGAAAACCAGTACTCAATAAAACAAAATTTAAAAAGAAAAAAATCTGTTTGTAATAAGTGGCCTAACAACAAATTTATCTTATACTGAATAATAACTTAAAGCATACTGAAGGAAACTGTAACCAAGACCAACTGATAGGAGGACTAAAGTACACTACAGTAACTTAGTGAAAGAATAGCACTCTATCAAAATATGTAAGCATAGACGTAAATTAAATTTTTTCAAGAACAAGAACCTTTCTTATGATTTTACAAGCTCAACTACCAATTAGAATTTCTGTGATCAGAGCCAACTCGCCTTATACCATCACCACACTCCATTAGCTAGCATATAGATACAGTATATATGTACGATCAAATGAAGAGTTAGCAGCACCCCTATCCATTATTTCTATAATGGACATTATTGCATAAGTGCATTAATGATTAGAGCACTTCCCAACAAGTTGGGGGACCATGGTCCCAATTATTCCTTAGGTTGAGCCATTTTGAAAGCAAAGCTCTCAATTTTTAGTAAAGGTCTTTAACTTCTTTAACTGTAGTTTCCGCTGTATGGAAGGAGAGCCATTTTGTTGAAAGGGTCCAGTGAATACAAAGCTATGAGGCCAAAAAGAAAAATAAGGAAAAGAAAGTGTGATTCTGTGATCTTCAGGTGAAGACATTCACCAAGAAGGAGGAATTCCTTGGTTTTCATCCACGTTCCAGCACCTGTGTAAGTTTTTGCTTTTAAGAAACACTGATTAAATGCATAAAATAATTTGGAGCACAAACCAGAATAAATGCTTCCCCCAGGTAAATTTATTTTCCGTTCAGACCTTTAACTGGAAAAAATATCTGGAAATGAATTTTACAAACCTTCCCTTTAAAACACAGCTTCTGCAAATTTCCAATATACATTAGAAATTGCTATCAAAATCTCTCAAGGTGAATTCGTAGCATTTTTTGTATAACATCTAACTGAAATGTAAGGCAAAACCAGTTATGTAAATAGACTACATTATGAAAAGTTTATTCTATCTAAACATATAGTTTACTATACATTCAAGTTCATTTATTTAAATATGTAATAAAAGCTTCCCAAACAGATCTTACTTCATAAGTTATTTTCAGACTTGATTGAAGCAAAATTGGAGTAAATTTTGGATGAACTTCGGTAGTAAGCCAAAGGCGAAAGTTCGGCTGGGGCTGTAATGTATTCAGTTCCTATTAAACAGATGTTAATATACTGAAGTAAGTTTTGGGTTGGGTTTTTTTAACATACATAACAGTATTTACAAAATTATAATATCTTAAATTAGAAAATTCTAAATTGTTTAGTTGTCTAAAAACTCTTTATTGTTTTTACAAGTGACATTATCCAAAAGACGTTCAGGATGTGTTGTCTCCACATACTCTACATGCTTGCTGTGCTCAAGTTTGAAGTTCATCCTAGCTGTGTCAAAGTATTTGCACCTCGTCCCCAGATCCTAAATTCAGAGTATAAAAATATATAGCAGTTCTTCTTCTAAGTAAAAAAACCACCAGAAAACCACACCTCAAAAGATGAAGGCTTGGAATATGGGCTACATATCAACAAAAGGTCCTAATGACTTTCAACAACTGTATAGCTACACTAATTTATTGTTCTTCAAGTGTTCTACATACACTTCACATGTCATGATTCACAGAAAACTGAAGATAGGAAAATGAAGTTCTAAGAGAAAAAATATTGTCAAATGCTCTTTCAAATATAAAGGCTTCACAAAAACCATGTAATTACTGAATGTATGAAAACATACTGCTTGTGCTTCATGTGCATCTGAAACAGACATATTTTCCACTGAAAACATCAAAGTTGTTTGACAGTTGACTTGAGAACAATGTCAACAGTTTTGTGCATGTGTTTTGGAAGAAACATAGCTCAAAAAAACTCTTAACAGATTTTCTCACAATCTATCCATTTTGATAATAAAACATAATCATAATAATTTTTTTCAGTGTTTTTTAATAAAGAAGAAAATTCTGTCAACTCATTTTAATTGTTCTGCTCTTTTGTCACAACGATACCTAGAATCACAGAATTGTTGAGGTTGGAAGGAACCTCTGGAGACTGCCTAGTCGTAGCCCATGCTCAAAACAGAGTCAGCTACAGCAGGCTGCCCAGAACTGTATCCAGTCAGGTTTCAATATCTCCAAGGACAGAGACTCTTTGGGCAACCTGTCCCCGTGTTTGATCAACCTCAAACTAAAAAAAAAAAAAACTTGTCTTATGTTTAAATGTAATTTCCTGTATTTCAGTTTGTGCCCATGTCCTGTCATGGGACACCACTGAAAAGAGCCTGGCTCTATCTCCTTTACTCCTTCCCATCAGCCAATGCACACTAAATAATAAAATTCCCCCCAAGGCTTCTCTTCCCCAGGTTGAACAGTCCCAGTTCTCTCAGTCTCTCCTTGTATGACACATGCTCCAGTCCCTTCATCACCTTTGTGCTCCTTTACTGGATTTGCTCCAGTGTGCCCATGCCTCTCTTGTACTGGGTAGCCCAGCACTGAACACAGCACTCCAGATGTGTCTCAGTCTATCAAGGTCCTTCTGAATGAAAGCACACCCATCTGTTGTATCAATCATTTCTCCCAGTTTTGCATCATCTGTACTCACTGGGGATGCACTCTGTCCCGTTATTCACATCATTAATTAAGATGTTAAACAATGTTGGCCACAGTATCAATGCCTGGAATATGACTGGCCTCCAGCTGGATTCTTTGCCACTGACAACAACCCTTTCAGCCATGTAATTGGGCTAGTTTTCAGTCTACCTCACTGTGGTACAATCAGGTCTGTATTTCATCAGTTTGTCTATGAGGATGTTATGGGAGACAAACTAAGATATGAAAATGATCCACAGCCTTGGAAGCAGGAGATGTAAGAAAAGAAAATGGAATTTACATACTGGTTCAAGTGCAATCATCTGCAGTATGCATCCTCTAATACATTGTGTTTGGCTAGAAGACAGCTAGGCTGTCTGTTATAAACTGTGAACATATCCTCTTCATATTGATAGAGTTCACATTGACTAGAAGACATATTTCATTTTCTCAAATGGAAAGATTGTGAGAACAAAATTTATGTACCTGGATGGAACTAAATTATAAATAGGCAGATGTCTCTTAAGAGGATGTTCAAACATATGAACTATAAAGCCTCACACTTGTTAATGGTATGCAAAACAGACAAGAGGATGTGCTGATTCAAACATCAGCAAATCTCAGTCTGTATGAA